CAGAGACCGTTTTATTGCTTTTTTCCCTTGCACGAATAACCACTTTTACCTTGATTTCTCAAGAGCGTGAACATAATGAATAACATCTTGTTGGGAAGAAATTACCAGCAAAGATTTTCCGACTGAATGCAGTAAGCTTTTATTTGCAATGCAATTCAGTTAAAGATTTTTTTCCCAATAAATGCAATTCAGTTAAAGATTTTTTCCCAATAAAATCGAAAATACCACGGAGAGCCTTTCAAACCAACCGGTGATTGCTTGAGTCCGTGGAGCTGGCAAAAACAGATCGTGGCGCTGATCCCGATATTGCGCCCAGACTGGCGAGCGATTCAAAATCTCCGAGATCTTCTCACCAACTTGCAGATCCAGGCATGCACTTTTTAGAGCGTCGACAATTTCCGCACGTGCTGCAGGAGAGTTAGAGACGCCTGCAAACAAATAAAGCTTGGATTAATGTAATTGAAATACGGAATTTGTAAAAACTGAACGAATAGAAGGGAAGTGAAACAAAACAGAAAAAAAGTTTTGTGTCGGTTAGCTTAAACAATGGCTGGGTTTCTCGTAACATGGAGTGAAACGTAGCTGCCATAAAAAACGTCAAGCACTCATCTGAGTATAACCTTGCTAATGACGTGTTATATCTGCTAAATATTGTGAAATTACCGTTTCGTAAAGCGGCAAATCCACTGAACCAAAACGAGTCAATAGACGGAACCAGGGCATAAATTCCCCTTAACCTCATTGCTAAGGGTCTCTCATATTGCCATAAACAATCGCTCAAACATTTGGCTTTCCAAGAGTAAATATGCTTCATGAATAGCAAGCAACGCCTGCAACTGTCGTCTTATATTTGGCCAGCACGCACGCGACCATTTCGGGCTGGCCACATCACCTTTATATCTTCAACGATAAATGGGCCAGATCTATCAAGCATTGAACGCAAAGAATAAAACACCCCTTGGTTATCACATATTAACCAAGTACTCGGAATTTTATAGTTCCTCCGTAAATTAGGCCCCCGATAAGAAGACAAAAAGGGAATGATTGATCCATAAAAGTTC